ACAACACCTCAAAGTCTGACTTTTAGAGAAACAACAGGCAGTTTTCAGTAGATTTCCTCTTTCACTTCTAAACTGCAATCAGCAGAGACGCAAAAAAAAGATTACAAAAAGGCAACGACGAATTCATCATTCTTATTAGTTGCTACTGCACCATCCTGTCGAGCATTACACTTACTCCCTGAGGTATTTAACACTTTAAATATCACCGCAAATCAACCAGAAATAAAAAAAGGAATCTTTAGAAACTCGGAGGATGAATCTGTTAGGTCGAGTGAATTACCACACTGGTTTTGAATGCGTACCTAAAAAACACTGCATACTTTCATAATTCGACATGCTAGCGAAGTTTGTTATCTCATGTGACGAAGCATGCGTACACCGCAAGCTCCAATATTTAGTTTGAAGGGCGACTTTATCATGTACGTACGAGCAGACAAATAAAATCGACAGTAAGACATTTTTCATGACAAACAAGGACTTCAGTACTTCATTGTGCATCTGTCACTTTACTTCTTTCTGTGGAACAAAGTACACTGACCATACAGTTTGTTCCATAACCATATTTGGAAATATTTTCCAACTTATTTATTCAGAAAAGAGATAAAAATTGTCAACAGTTTTACTCTTGAAAATCTCATCATCTCCAAAATTCTGGTCCCTCCTAATAAATCCTTCAAAATAATTTATTCAAAAAAGCTTCAAATGCGTCATTTAAGCATAGCGAGATCACTAGCAATTCGCAAACTTAGATCTGATCTTTATGTTCGAAACCACTAAGTGCATCGCCTAACCTTACAATGGCCAAAGTAGCAATTGTCTTGTCTTTAGAAACTTTCTATTTTACTCTTGAATGTTAGAGTAATCACGTGCCCCTACCGATCAACAACAGACTGTCATTTGTTTCCTATGGTTTTAACTACGAATGTACAACTTTAGTAAATGAAACTGTCGAGACGAAATTTCTTCGCTGTTACGTCTGTTTTAATACTGAGATCAATTGTAAAACACATCCTATTTCTTCAGTTCACTCGGTTTTTCTTTTCTATTTGTATTGATCCTTTAAAGTTCTAACTAAATGTATTCACTTCTACACTAAAATCCTATCACCCTAATCATGAGCAAATACTACTTTTGCTACTGGTCATTAGAACCAATGACCAACATCCATGAATAGTTTCACTAACCTTCATTTTCAAATTCGTTCTCTTCCTATGCACCTTTTTATGCTGGGATATCAGTCCTGTTCTATCGACTTGTTTCTGTTATGCTACTGTAAAGGTAACTTGAAGCGATGCACTTTTGTGCGAAATTCTACGTTGAATTTGTTTGTCTGTTTGCCAGTTACAACGAAACACTTCGATTAAGTGATACCCATGGATCCTGTACTTTCATTAGTGAATGAGATCCACATTCGAAGACCATGAAATAGATGATATTCAATGCGTCTTGTCAAAAGTGGTTGTTCAATAATACAGAAGTGAAGGAGTAAAGCCTAGGCACTGTGGTCGATTGTAATTCCATTTTAAGCTGTTTATTAAAAAGTCACACGATCAAACAGTATCATTTACTGGATAACGTTTCAGACATAATTTATTGTCCATATTCATATCAGGTGACTCCACAACTTCAAGACAGAGTTTATATATTCCTAATTTTCTCTCCTTCTCTGTCATGACAAGCTTAGTAGAAGTTTCCATATATCTGAGACAGGTACAGAATCATTTCGATTCCATGTATTTCGCGTTGATTTGATAAACAAAGACTCGATTATCAATCTCTCCCTCCACCCAACTAAGTTAGTTTTCAACACTGTTGCCCTATCCCACTCTACTGTATGATTGTGTGCAGAGGTATAGCCGAGCTTTTCTCTAAATTTCTTATCTTATTAGGTGAGCTAGCAATTCTGGATTGCAAGACTAAACGAACACATGACGGAAGTTTAGAGACTAGTGTCTATAGGAAACATACCCATTCTAACTGGTACCAAGACTTCAAATCCTCTCACCCCATTTCAGTTAAAGCAGGCTTAGTTAAGTGCCTAAGTGAAGGGGCGACAAAATTTACTAATAGAGCGGAAAATCTATGACAAGAAATAAGATACATCAAGAATACCTTGCGTCTCCATAATTACCCACCTTAAAACTATAAATAAATTCATAAGAAATCGAAAGAAAAATATTATGCGTAGCAGTAGTAGTAATACAGGTGTTACTAATAATAATTCTACTACTAGTGATAATAATGGTGGCAGGGTTAAGAGAGAATTCAAAGCTTCTGATGTGTTACCACACAACGAAGGCACCTCAGAAGCATTACGAAGAATTCTCAATAAGGCTGGGATTAAAGTGCCACTTAAAGCAACACACTCCCTTAGAAACAAGCTTTGTAGGTTTAAAGATCCTATCGATGCAATTAAGCAAATTAATTTAGTTTACCAAATGATTGCGAGGCCAAATACAAAGGTCAAAGTAGTCGATGACGGTCAATCAGAAGAACAGAGCACAAAAACTTAGCTAAATCAAGATTAAAAGATCCTAATAAGATAAGAAATTTAGAGAAAAGCTCGGCTATACCTCTGCACACAATCATACAGTAGAGTGGGATAGGGCAACAGTGTTGAAAACTAACTTAGTTGGGTGGAGGGAGAGATTGATAATCGAGTCTTTGTTTATCAAATCAACGCGAAATACATGGAATCGAAATGATTCTGTACCTGTCTCAGATATATGGAAACTTCTACTAAGCTTGTCATGACAGAGAAGGAGAGAAAATTAGGAATATATAAACTCTGTCTTGAAGTTGTGGAGTCACCTGATATGAATATGGACAATAAATTATGTCTGAAACGTTATCCAGTAAATGATACTGTTTGACCGCGTGACTGACTAAAATGGAATTACAGGAGTGAAGGCTAGTATCTTAAGCTCATTAAACTGACAGCAAAGTAACTAACTGCTTTAATTTTGATGCAGTGACAGAATTATAATCGTTACAAATATTTGGAATATAAGCAAGGAAAACACCCTCTAAGCTTGCATTTTAACAAATCTTAGTTACGTACATTGATCATTCAAAAGGTAGTAACTAATCGTAAACTGTTTAACCTTGAGTAATTATCAGATTTAATCGTCTAAGTTTTACTAATATAACATGTTGAATACTTTCACGTTTTATTAGCACACTATATTTCTGTTTCATTCTTATTTGACCGAGATTATTCTATATATTTTGCTTTTAGTAGGTCATCAGTGCTGAACAATAAATTACTATGAGCTAGTACTAGTAAGTCAAAACTTGACTCAATAATTTTTCTTCCTAAAATGCACCGATTAAGGTTACCTCTGCATTAAATGAAAAGGTGTACCAAATAAATATTTGAGTTGATAATCATGGAGTGACTTTAAACCTCATTCTAGTGACTACTTAAATAGCCAGATAAGTCTATTTTGGCTGGAAGTGTGATTTTCCCGAAACATCAGAAAAAAAAGCTCGTTCGTTATTTCACTAGTTTCATGGGTAGCTTTTAACATCATTATCATGATCAACATAGGCCCGACTCAGGCATTACTGTGTAACGGTCCAAGTTGCCATATCTCATATCAGTATTTCAGATGGGAAAGCAATGAAAGAGAGAGAGGAGTAATAACGAAATACTGAATTCAGTAGGATGATTAAGATGAAGATAATGTGTGGATACGTCTGCGCCAATGACATCAATTCTAAGCCATGCCACCAAGTCTCCAACCACGGGTTTCTGTTGTCACACGGATTCCAGCTGGGAGGTCTGTATTTCCCTACACGGCTCATACTAACATTCAAGAACTTCATAAAGTGATGCCCTGTCCTAGTCTGGCTACCTCTAACACTTTTCCAGCCTGAATCCATTTCACCTAACATAGTGCGACGAGGCGGAGGGTGACTACACATGCATAACATATTTCCCAGCCATTCCAGTTCATGAAGGTTCATAACCTCATCGAAGAAACTATCCTCTTCTCCGTAAAACAATACACCTGACTTACGTAGTGACACCACAACACACATACTAAGCTATGACGGCAACGGTGGTCGAACACCTGAGGCCTAGGCACGCCCATCACTTTCAGTGGCCATTTTTCACAGCCATACAGTAGAACAGAGCGAACTGCATCTCAGCACGCTGAACCCTTAACACATAATTGGGTATCATGGCGGCGCTACAAATGTCATAAGTTCGCGAAGACAAAGCGAGCCTTTTTTTATCCGTGTCGAGGTTTCGTTGACCGCTAAGTCACGAGGGTTGATCCGACTTCTCAGGTTAGTGAAATGGTCAATGCGCTCAACCGTTTCACTCTTTATTGTTAGACAGAACACCTTTAACGTCACACATAATTCTATCGTGATTTCCATATGAATATATACAATTATAACATATCGCATACTTTCAATGACATATCCTGCAAACCTTTCAATATTTTTTCGAAATGTGCTAGAAATAGCAAAAATGTCAAACAAACTTGAATAAATAAATGTGATTGGTACAGAAGAAAACAGTTTTTTTTTCCTTTGGTAAGAATTTTATATAAATATTTACACATCTTATAGGTATTACCTTAAAATTTAATGCTATCACAGAACAGCATTAGCGCTACCGGTATTCTTTAAAGAACGGATAATACCTTTTAAAAACACTAACTCCACAACACCTTTGGAAGGATAGCATTTAAGGATCCATATTGCATGAATAACAATGCAATACACAATGAGAACGAGAAAAACTCGCTAGAAGTGAACAAATGTAATAGAAATTAAATTAGTAAATAAGTAATCAGTATCATTTCAAAGTTATAGTAATATTCTTCATGCTTTACATAAAGAAATGATTTCACAAACGCCCATATAAAACATACATGTAAAATATACATATGCTTACATGAACAAAATACCTATTACGATATGAAAGTTATTGAAGAATTATAGAAAGAAAATGTGAAAAAGTATTGAAAAATACAATATACACCCTAAATATTTGCAATATGAATTTGCCATGCCAGTAAGAGACCATCAAAACCAGTTGAAAAGAAGTTGTGAACACCTTCATTTGCCCAAGAAACACAGGTCACCATACGGGAATGACCCTAAACACCATAAAATATACATATATAAACAAATGACAAGATATACATATATATATATATATATATATATAAAATATTTGTTGTAGGAATTTAAGAAGTTATCGGTAATAATGATCTTGAGAATAAACTATTACCATAAAGAAACAAAAAAACATTTTCTCCACTTTCGAAGCTATAATTCAATGGTTTAGGGAGATGTTTATCAACCAGTGGGTTTACTGGTTCGAACCACGCCCTACCTACCGAGGTTTGGACAGCCAGGTAGTATCACTAGCTGTCACACAATAAATGTGGCTCATGTCTTCGTTTCGTTCGCTTGTTCCATTTACGGAGAAGAACCACAAAATCACCTCATAAAATCTTAATTAAAATATATCACTGTATATAATCATTGGGAATAAATAAAAATTCAAAAAATATATAAAATTATGTTCTAAAACAATATTACCATGAATGCTCACATCAGAATGACAAACACAAAATAGTATACACGATTATGTAAAGCGGGGATAAGAAATTGAAACGTAACCTCGATTTGAACTGGTTGTCACCTGGTTTAGGATACACCACCTTTCGATGATATGTTTTGCTATAGATGAAGACGGATATCTGTCACCTGAGCTGATCAAAGTTCGTGTGTTAAATTGTTTTCCAAGACATTTAGGTATGTGTTCACCCACCCTAATCTGCATTGAACGATTACTCCTCCCGATGTATGTATGTCCACACATATATGTAAATTGATAAACACAGTGGGATGTAACATAATCATTTGAGCGAGGTTGAGGTTCGTGGCGAAGCAGGTGTTTTGTTGTCTCAACAATGATAAGCTGAGCTGCATACTGTGTTTTACTAGTAAAAGATTTTAATCTCTGTTTCAATACTATACTACTCGTTTCCCCTCTGTATGGTACTTTAGGAAAAATATCTTTCTTCGAGGCCGAGGAATTTACAGGTTTCGGGGCCAGCTGTTTTCTACAACGGTTCACAAACTGCAATGGACATCCGTTTTATATAAGTGTGTCTGTCAGAAATTTCCTCTCACTATCCATCGTATCAGATGTACAAATACATTGGATCTTATTGAATAAGCATCTTACTAAGCCTCTTTTATATTTCATGGGACAAAAACTGTAGAAATTCAAATACTATCCTGTTCAAGTAGGCTTTCTGTATATTGATCGCCTGATAAATCCATCTTCCCTCCGACACAGGAGTGTATTAAGAAATGCAAGTTGATGGCCTTTTTCTTCCTCACATATCAGGTTGATATGATCTTGTACAGTATTAAGCCTTTTTAACCAACCCCCGGCATCCTCATCTGTGTCACATATTACAAAGATATCATCAACATACCTTCTATAGAATGTAACATTAGTGATTAAACCCTGATCCATTAGTTTAATATGTTACTCATTTATATCAGCTAATAATGATCCTGATGGACTCCCTATGGCAATACCATCAATTTGCCGAAAGTATTCGCCTTCGAAAGTGAAATGAGCCTTATCAGTGGATAATAAAAGTAGCTCTTTCAAATGCATTGGGGAAATAGGGAAAGAAGGATAATTCGAGGATATATAATCTCAAAGAATATTAACTGTCTTCGTTAGAGTTACAATCGTAAACGAAGAGTTAACAACGAAAGAATAAATTTTCTAATCTTTGATATTCATATCAGTTAGACAATCAACAAGTTCAAAAGTATCAGTGAATACTAATATAAACTATTACAAATCAGGCTCAGTATTCGGGTCAACCAACAGGGGATTGAGTTTATGAATGGCTAACGCTATTCGTAAACTTAAGCCTCGGTTGTGTGTACAAAAACAATTTGTTGTTTTAATTAATTCACGTTGGTAATCTTCATTCTGATTAAATTACCAAGACCCAGTGTCACAACCTTTTCATATTCATTATATTTCACCTTTCATTTTCATATATTAATTGACTTGACAAGTAAATATGTGATCAGATTGTTCGAAATGTATTGCGCGAATACATCACATTTTTCAGATAATCTTCGTCTTGTAACAGCCTTATCGAAATTTATTAAAAGAACTAATTGTTTCAATTATATGTGACAACTGACATGTGTAGCAGGTTTGGTGTAAGCCAAATCATTTAGTCAATGATAGTAAAGGAGTGAAGAAATATGGGGTTGCAACCAAAAAGTGAAAAACTTTTCTCTAGACATCTAGTATCCAGTAAAGTTTTGTATCAATTTCTCATAATAAAAAGCGGACCGAATAATCGTATTATGATACTAAAAGCTATCTCTACTAGAACTCATTAATTCGTACAGGGTCTTATGGCAAACTGTCATCTGAGGTGAAGACACCTCCTGACTACCAAGGAAGTTAGCGAACATGGCTTCTGTTACACTCTGTTAAAAACATACAAGTGTATATAACTCTAACTACTTTACGCACCTCAGAGATTAGTCTTCTGGAAAACGTGTTGTCGATCCGCTGTATGCGTACCTCACCTGGTTAACTAGTCCACTAGTTACTAGCCAGGCCTAAGCCCGGATAAAGAGACAAGCTTGGGCATAAGGCTAACAACCCTACCACGGAAAACAAATACAACCGATACAGAAACTTCAAAGCACAAACAAAATACAAACAAGAAAAACAAATATCATTCCTCACTGGAATCAGAGACACCGGTTGGTGAAAGCTTTCGGGAAGCCAACTGGGCAATGTGTCTTCTCTCCCTCGTTGAAAGCGAAAGTAAACATGGGGACATGGAATGTCCGAACCATGTTTGAACCTAGCATGGCTGAACAGATTGCAAACGACATGAGAAGGTATCGCAGTGAAGTGATAAGAATCTGTGAAAGCAGGTGGAATGGAATGGAATGGAAGTGGACTCCACAAACTCTCAACTGGAGAGGAGTCAATAATCTACTCCAATATTGTCACCCGGACGACAACCATGAACACACTGAGTTTCAGAGTGGCTATCATGACATCCCCAATGAGCATCGAAGCCTCACTTTCATGCAGTGGGAACCAATCTCCTCCTCCTCCTGCAGGATCAGGATCATGACAGCAAGATGGATTCAACTCAAAATGAAGGAAAGTCACAATCGAACAATGCTACGCTACGCTACGTTATGCTATGCTACGCTACACTACACTACACTACACACCTACAAATAATGCAGAGCAAGAGAAAAAGGAGGAATTCTACAGACAACTGCAATCAACACTGGACAAGACCCTACCCAGTTGGCAACATCAAAATCCATTCTAATAGGCGACATGAATGCCAAACTGGGAGTGGACAACTCAGGAAGTGAACTAACCATGCGTAGAGAAGCACTCGGTGAAATAATCAATTCGAATGGAGAACTGTTTGCAGATCTCTGTGCATTCAATGATTTGGTGATTGGAGGCAGTGTGTACAAACACACACACACACACACACACACACACACACACAAGGATATTCACAAAGCGAACGACATGCATTTGATTCCACTAAATGGACACACTACACTAAATATCAGATCGACTTCATCTCAATGTGAAGAAAGTGGAGACGTAGTCAGCCTACTAGACACAAGATCATATCAGATCGAGAAGGGGAGCAGATGTAGGTCCACACCACTCACTATCTACTGCAAGGAACCTACATTCAAAATCAAGTTGAAAGCCTTCAAGGAAATTGGTGATAGACCACAGTTGAAGTTGAACACCAGACCCAGAACTGAAACTGAACTGAAGGACAAAACTACAAGGAACATCTTCACGTCAGCCAGTCATCAAGACAAAATGAGAGATATCGAGCACTATCCCTTAAGAAAGATGTGTGGGTGAATAGTGGAAGTTTTTGAGGGAGGTGTGGAAATAAACCTGCATAACCGTATTAGGAATGAAGAAGAAAGAAGACAAGACAATGAATGGATCTCGACGGACACATGGAATCTGATAGAGGAGAGGAGAGGAGGATGGTGAAGCAGAAGACAAACGAGTGCAGTGCAAGGACAAATGACGAGAAGAGGGACTGAGAAAAATGTATCAAACAACACATTGGACAAAGAAGTGAAGAAGAGTGCACGCAAAGACAAAAGACAGCTTTACGACACAATGGCAAGTGAGGCAGAACAGGCTGCAGGTAGGAGAGACAGAGACCTGAAAACTTTGTATCAAATAACCAGGTTACTATCTAGGATGGAAAAGATCAACACAGATGAAACCAATAAAAGATGATGAAAGAAATCCAATTACTAAAAAGGAGAAAGAAAGGAAGCGATGTGCTGACCACTTCAAAAAGCTCTTGAACCGACCACCACCACCACCACCATCTGCACTTCGTCCAGAAATACCACCTGCATCCCAGCCACAGAACTACCAGTGAACATAAACCCTCCAACAGAAGCAGAAGTGAATTCCTGAACACCATAAGTCTACTGAAATGCTGGAAAGCGGCAGGATCAGGTGGCATCCCGCCAGAAGTACTGAGAGCAGATGCAGAGACAACAGCGGACATGTTCACACCACTATTGCAGAAGGTCCGGAAGAAAGGGAGAGTACCTGGTGATTGGAAGAAGGGCGACCTAAGTTTTTGCAAGAACTGGAGCGGAATCACGCTCCTGTCCACCCACACCAAGCAAAATATTAAGCCGCAAGTAATGTGCGGACCAAATTGCAACGCCACGCTACGCATCATCATAGAACAGAGTATAGAATGGCAGTCCACTATACATCTTACTCAACTTAATCGACTTTGAAAAGGCCTTGACAGCGTCGACCGGGAAGTAACTTCGCAACTGTTCCAACACTACAGAATACCACAAACCTTTATCAATCTCATTCAACAACTATATGAAGACGCCACATGCCATGTAATTCACAATGGGAAGCAGCTCAGTGATACCTTTGAACTTAAGACAAAAGTAAGATAAGGCTGCCGCCTACTATCACCCATGATATTCCTGATTGTGGTGGACTGGATCATGCAACAGACAACTAACTGTGAGAAGAGAGAAGAGGGGCATATACTGGACCGAAGAAAAGATCCTAGAAGATTTGGATTTCGCCGACGATTTGTGCCTAATGTCACACAAATTTGAAGATGTACAGGCAAAATCCAACAAGTTAACAGAAGAGGCGAGGTGAGGCAGCGAAGACGGGACTTCCTTCAAGTGAATATAGAGAAGACAGAGGTGATGAAGATAGCTAACGAACTACAGCATCAACAACAAGCTCAAATCACCATCAACGGGAGAAACTTAAAGGAAGTAGCCTCTTTCACCTATCTAGGCAGCACTGTTTCATCTACAGGCAGCACAGACGAGGATGTCAAATTCAGGATCGGAAAAGCAAGACAGGCGTTCATTAACCTGCTACTAAAGCCCTATGTTCCATTAGGAATCCAAGGGACAAATAATAATGTAACATATAAATAAGAAGACTTTTTGAATGCCTCGAACGTTTTCCTAGGTGTTAAATGCTCCAGAGCTGATATATACTAAACCTTGGCTTCATAATAGGAGGTGAAGTGACTGATGAAGTTGATTAGCTTACTGTTGCAAAGGAGAAAGGTAAGTGTCTAAAATCCATGAAACTCGCTCAAATGCATCCACTTTTCATAAAATCCACCGACCTTGTTTTCTTGTACCCTTTTTCATAGTTTCATATCATAGTAAATAATATCATTAAAATAGTTCTTGTATATGAGGCTTCTATTCGTGGTGTTTTGAAGTATGACAACCTGAAATAGTTCACTCCTACACCAGGGTCATAAAAAGATTTATAGAGTGGAATCTCGTGAAGCTGTATCAGTGTACTTAAATATCAGAAACAAAAATCAAATACACACACTCTAGCTCATTTGAAAAAAATACCATTCAGTTACGTGTACTAGAAAAGTTATCTACGACCACTCGGATGAGCTACTGCACCACTCATGGAGGAATTACCATAGCTAATTTCTTCTAAAGTCTGAACTGGTGCCTTACTTTAAAATGGCAATAAAGCTCTACGGTGAGACCACCTGGTTCAAAAATGGAGCTACCAGTAACACTCGTTAAGTGTGGCTCACTAACACCTGATGTTTTGAATCATAAGAAAGAAGTTTAAGTTTCTGCAGTTTTAAGTGCCCTCAAAAAGAGTAAAGTGGGAGAATTGTGGGGAAACAGTCTTCTATTTTTGATGAGTGAGTATAATGTTGGGGTTTTTTGCTCCTGCAAAACACTGGTCGACACACTGTGTGACTTCCCCTTGCAGCTCAACACATCATCAGAACAAAATTCTGAAGCATTTAAAGATGTATGTGATGCCTTCAGCAAACTGTAGGATTCTCAGACGTGTCTGTTTTTACGCCAGCCTACATTAACTGCTTTACACTCTGGTTCAGATCTTGGCTTTTGGAATGACCCTAGCAAAACTTGTCCCGGAGATATGTATGAAGAATTTGCACACTTTGTCTGTAAAACTGAAAAAAAAATTGAAGTTACAAAACAGTGGTTTGATTCCTAAAGCCCACTTCTCCAGTATCCCAGTTATTGATTTATCCCCATCGAAGATGCTTTATATGATTGGTGATCTGCATGAACCCTACCCAAGTATTTTGGACCAACTTGTGCATATATTCTTAGCCTTTATAATGGATGAATCAACTTGGTCTAAAATTATCGAAATCTTAACGCGTGCGATACGCGTAACTTCTCACGACAATTGTGATATAGATTGTGAAACAAAAGCTTCAGCTAAAATATCTGAAGTAGCTTCTGTTTTAGCTATGTATTTAATTGTTAGACTGATTGACACTTTATCCAGTCATGGTCCAAAGTTCACCAGTTTAGTCCGTTAGCGTAACTATCGGTTTTAATAGATCCGCAATAAGAGAGAATGGGTTCAATTCGTGTATACAATAGGTTCAGTGCCCGTTGCTAGTAATTCGATTGACAACGACGCGTACTGAAAAGACCAAAACACGAATGTTTGCGAGCGATGAATTTCAAGCGCCCTTTGATCAGCAAACCGAAAACCAAAAAGAGCGCGAAGTGTACAAGGCTTGAAGAAAGTGTGTGGAATGTTCTCAGCCATTACCGTAACAGACAAACCTCTCAAAAATGTACAATGCCTAACAATTGAATGATATGTTCGAAGGAACAAATTGAGGTTACTATACATTATATAGTTTTCACACAATAATACGACTAACAATTCAGTACAATAACTTGTGATATAATTAATAAGTACGATTGCTTAACTTATACTGAGTATGTCTGTAGAAATTTGTCTTTAGTTTGTATGATATAAGTGCACCATTGTTATTTGTTATTATCATCATTATTAGTTTTATTATTATCATTATTATTATTATTATTATTATTATTATTATTATTATTATTATTATTGCCACCAAAACATAAACATGGTACAGCAATGGCATCAAGAAATGGACCGCACAAGATAGCATAAAAACATTATGAAGACATAAACGATGGGAAGTGGATAAGCAAGAAAGAAAAACAATAAGAATAGCATGGTTAGAAGGCCAGTCCAATAAGATACACTCAAAGCAAAACGTTCATTACTTTTCAGCAGCAGAGGATAGGAGGAAGCTACAGCATGACCGCCGCTGGTTTCAACCCTGAGCAATACCTGATAACATCTCAAGTCACTGAGTTGCATGACCTCTCAGACCCCACCCGTGGAGTCGTGGTGCACTAACAGACGCTAACCCGATACAACTATCCTTCATCCTATGGTGCCACGTCATACACTAACCACTCCTCCACTTCTTCCATCCAGTCCAAGAGCTAGCAACCAGAGAACGGTATGGAAGCTGAGACATACGTAACACATGCCCAAGCCACCAAAGTCGATGTTTCCAGATGACTTTAACAACTGAATGATTTTCACCATGTCCAAACACAAGCTGTTGTACCTCAGAATTTCTTACATAGTGTTGCCATCGGTTACAAGTAATCCTACGGAGACAACGATGGTCGAATATACAGTCATCACATATCCTCAGCTCGGAGAGACCAAGTTTCACAGATTTAGAGTAGAACTTCTCGCACTTAAATGCTGTAAATCCTACCCTTCAGGGTCAGACTAACGTCGCGACGCCGCCAAAGGTGGCCCAGATCGGTGTATGCCACTCTGGCTTTCGATACGCAGTTGGAAATTTCAACACTGACACAACTACCCAGATCCATGAACTTCTCGACTACTTTCAAGTGGATGGATGGACAATAAAAAGAAAACGTGTTTACTACTTTAGTTAAAAGTATTAGGAAAAAGTGGTTCAGTCGAATTTGTAGCCATAAATAAAGTCGTAGAATATGACCGAAACTGATTGTGTACGCATCGGTAGACTAAGAAAACTAAGCTCCCACAACTCGGAAGTTAGAGGTAGTGTTAAAATCAATGAAATGTAGTTCGACTCATTGCACTTTATATTCAGCTAAATAATTTCAGCTTCACCGGAATGGAACAAAATTAGACTTGAACAAAAGACTAGTAAACTGTGAATATATGGGTCATTTTAAAAGGCAAACAGTCTAATGCAACAATCATCGAACAAATTAGGAATGAGACTGTACAAAAGATCAAACTGTATAGCACAGATAGGTGGTCACTGAACTATATACATACAAGCCTACTGTTTGTCTCTAGATGGGACCCAAACTTCTTTTTAAATACCATTCTAATACAATATCAAAATCTATCAAAAGAAGTTAGAGAATGAATGTTGGTCATTACTAAACCCCTTTTAACGGTCATAACGGGTACACAGTCTTGTCTAACGGTGAGCAGATATGTGCCAGCCTAAAAAAGGCAACTTTGAGTAGCAAAATAAAACAACCTTCACTAGTACAGACTTTTAGTTTAGCTTCTTCTTTAAAAAATTAAAAACTTAACTTGTTGACACTTAAAATCCTAGAGAATAGAAAAACTTGAAGTAAAAATAATTCGAGAATAAACCGGGCAACAAGCTTTCAGTTGATGAAGTCAAACTCAGGCTTGGTTAGCAGTTGAATGAAGTGATTTAATTACTACAGTAATTAGACAATAACTCAACATCCACTGGAGAAAAGCGCTTTGCAAACCAAGCTTTCTTTCGGATTTAATGATCGAACCGATATAAAAATATTTGGTAACAAATTAGCAAATTTAACATGTCACAACATGGATAAAAAATAAACAAAACGTAGCTTAAACTAATACGACAATCGGAGTTATGAATAGTTAACAATGAAGACTACCCAAATAAAATCATTAAAAACACCTACATGTGATGATCTAGTTAACCGGCCAATCCGGTTGCCATTAACATCAAACAACTTTATTCCTCGATTAACAAGCGGTAATGCGATGTACTTAGGGTAACTGGAAGTCCAAGAGTTAGAAAATGAAGTGGATAATGCAGAACCATGTTGAGGAGCGTGAGATGAAGTGGACGGAGGATACTGTGCTTCGGTTGCAGATGCCACTATTCCAGGTGAAATGGGGTTATTTGATTCTGCTGGCTGACATGGTACATTTGACCCGTAGCCAGATAAAGCTAGCCGGTTAATTGCTGCATCAGTTCTGATACTAACAACTGGACCACGACTTTGTCTTAAGTCCCAAAGGCGACAGAATCTGTCAGCGCCAGCACTGATAAGACGCTCAGGTGAACCAGGTGTCAAAAACTGAGTGGTTGAAACAGTCCTAATATTTCGTAAATGAAAAAAAATAGACAAATGAGCATAAGAACTAAATAAAGGAAACTCAGTTCAGCATAAAATATCAATGAGTATACACTTAAAACAATAAAGATGACTTACTGACTGTGGGCCTGCTGTACATGAACGCGCATTCCTGGTTGACGAAAATCCCATAATCGAAACGTGCAATCTCTTGAAGATGTGACAACAACTGGAGATCCACCTGGTTCACAACGTACATCTGTTAAGTAATCATCATGTCCAGTAAGTGATTCTAGCTCTTGTCCAGTTGCAAGATCATATGTCCTACCCAAACGATCCCACGACGCAGTCACTAGCTGTTCCCGTCCGCACACAAAATCAGCAGCAGACAAAGGAGACGAATCAATAGCACTGCAACCTGATGCCCCAACCGAATTCCATACTGCACCACACGAGGAAAGGTACAAATTTGCAGACTGAAATATGGCATGAGGATGACGAACAGTAATCGGTGGGACAGATGCTATACGAACTGGAGAACCTTTATTAACAAATAGACACATTTAAATCTTAAGTGTAGATTACTATTAAAAGATAAAATTTCCTGCAATGTGCGAAAGTTATAAAAATGAAGTGCGACCATCGATTTAAAACACGTACGCGCACGCATACACATGACAGCACGCACCTTCATCCATGGGACCAAATGGTAAATTCCCAATGTCATTTAAATCGTTTAAGTTTCCCGATTCCAGTCCAGATTTAATGATGGCTCCTACAATTTAAGAGAAAGGCAAAACAGAAAATCACACCATCCTTTTATAAAAACCTTTGAAATAATACAAACATATGAAAATAAGTGAAAAATTCCACTCACTGGATGAAAAAATGGGAAAGATATGATTTGAATAGGGCGAGAATAATAAAATATGTAGGGTATTATCGAAAGCATTTCACTGTCTATCAGACAGGATCGTTGAAGAGCAACCACTTTGCTGCAATGACCGAATTTCGCCGATCATTCGGTAATTTAGTAACCAGGCTAGGAAAGTCACCACGACTGAATCGCGTCCCGAACAGCTCAGTGATGACATCTCTGACTGCAGTACTAGGTGATATAGTTTCGGATTACTCAAGAAACATCACTTCCTTCAAAACTGCAGATATGCTTTGCTCGAGTGTCAACACGAAACCTATGGATCAGTGCTTCCTGACAATCTCTTTCAATCATCTAAAATGAATCAGTCTACCGTGATGCTCTATCTCCAAGCTTTGTGAAAACATTGCAAAATAGTCGACAAAATTTGGTCACTACTGATGATTAAACATGAGACTGATTACTCTTCAGTAACCAATAACAATGATTCTGATACACGATTCCAAATGTTTGACCGTGTGTATTCACTGGCTTTTGAGAATTTTCAGATGGATTGCAGATATAAGTAATAAATGAATAACGTCACTAAACATGTAGAATATACTGGGATTATGAATACATATTTCTTCTCTTGAGTACATTACGCCTTCCTGAGTCGAAGATATGCCAGAAGACGAAAGCTGGTCTGTGACTGCACTTACGATTTTTACTAGCAGAAATCCACCATATACACAAACATACTAGTATAAGCATATATTATACAAAAGACTAGGGTGCGTTGAATGTATCATTGTAGAGCTTCGCTGTTTGGTAAGGTCTTATTACTGATCATACAACAACACAGATTAAAGGTCTACCTCAATGACCCGAAACGCGTACCTCTATCTCAGTCAATTAGTAACATTCCCCCCCCTGTGAAAGCTGTATAACCTCCCTCTAAAATTCGTCTGGAAGATCTTTGGTCTTCTTTATGGTCTCACTGACTTAGAGTTGGATGTGACCAATCCGTCTTCTGCGTGGTTGACTCTAGTACATAAAAAGTACCTAATAAAACTCAAGCATTAAATTCTGCTGTTTGCTCATCATCATTGATGCTGAGTATTGTATTTCGCTCACGCGTCTGACCCACATTTGCTTTTCAAAAGTAACTCTTCAAAAAACATTTTTTCTCTGATTATTTGTTCAACAGTCCACTTTGGTGATGAGTAACCAAAATCGTGAACAAACATCGGCTGATTTATTTTAAGCACTCAATATTTTGCCAATTGTACTCATCTTTCATTGTTATTCTTATCTTCTCTTTGTATATTTGCTAATCCTTCCTTGCACCAAGAACTGCCTCAGCTTTGAAATTAAACATTACCTCTGCCACAGATATTTGATTTCTTGCTGATGGATTTGAAGTTGAATAGTTGGGGTAGGAAAAATGTCGATGATAAAAATTCTCGATTAGTAAAGCGAGTAAATTCGCTCGCACATAGTATTCTTTCCGTTTAAGTCTGATTTCACTTGCATTCCACCGTACTTAAAGTCGGGACAACACAAAGAATAAAGTTTTCAGTGTTATCAGAAATAAAGTGAAATATGATCATACCAATAAGATAATGAGAAGTATTTGTAGCGACAATCATCTCAAGAAATGGATCACAGTATGCAAAAACCACATCAGACATAAACAATGACTATCTTAATTACATTTTGACACTGAGGCAGATGATGATTTGGTCAGAATATACTTTAGTGGCTGATAAAAACAAGAAAACACTGGAGGATTGTAACATGGAATGAAGGAGGTGTATTCTGAATTGCACGTACATTTTCTGAAAATGTACACTTGTTTTCATTAGGATACAATCTATTATCAAACAATTTGGATAGAACAGCATCCTATAAATTCATATTTGCTAGAGTTAATAATAATCATACTTTTGAGTTAGAATGTCAAATAAGATTGATTTACAAATATAATGTTCATGATTAGTAGTAAAATAGCAGGTACTGGCTTGATATCAAATAGCAAACGAGTATACTGATTAAGTCGTTGGTAACTGTCAATAGTTCTCTATAAATTGGTTTAACTGTTTAAATACAAGCATCTGCAAGATTAATTGGAGCTAATTATTGTCCAGAATTAAACCTGAAAAACTTGTTTTTGTATAGATAGTCGATAAGTTTTATCCTCTCATGCATTATTCATTCCAAGGGAAACACCACGAAAAAGAACAGATCCATTCGCTTTACAGATCACTGATATTACAGCAGACTATGGAGTATATTTAAGTAGTTGGCGGACACTCAATCCTTCCACCAACCCATCAAGTTCATTACGAAACAAAGCGATTGCAGTATAGTGAAGCTTCAGCTCACTGATTTAGCCATTCAGCCAAGTACTATCCCTAGCCCCATAAAATAAGTATGGTTCGTTGCCTATTGCACGAATGTGCACGTAGTTGCTGAGTGCATCTCGATCGCTTTTTCTCAACAGTAGTATGGTGAAATTAGAAGCTTGGGGGGAAATACATGTTTCATATTCGGTTTCAACGACAGAGAAACTTGAATGAAATCGGAGCAGCTTGATTTGCCTCTGGAAAAGGAAACATGATTCTGACCTAGACGTCCTAGTAGTGATTTCATAGACATAGTTAAACGAAGTATTGAGGCATGATGACGATGTTACACGGTAACATATCGAATTCAAAGAAACATTTAGAAAATCCATTTTATCTAAATAGCATCATGAGATGAAGTATACCATTAAGGTGATGCTCTCCAAATTGAACATGACATTCTACTTTTCTGGAAGCTTTTGGCAATGTTTTCTGCCAGTTGAATTCATGGGTGACGAAGTGTGCTCCATAGACAGGGAAATTAAAATGATCTCTGTTACTGTATTAAGACAGAAACAAAACGTTTTCCCGATACCAGACACATGTACATATTTCTTTTTGCTTCTAACGTAGCCAAAATGCTTTAGATTCGATTGTACGACCGTCGTTTGGAAGAATCACACTTAAGCTACATTAAAAGATTTTCCTTACGAGATAAATCACTATTCTTACGACCAAGCCGATGCCACTATCGGCATTCATGTTTCGTAGATGAATAAGATTCAACAATGGGTCAAGAACCAAAATACCAGAAAACTGAAGGACGTCTACCCCCTGGACGCGAAAAGAGGTCAGTATTTAGATGATTTTGACTTCTCTGAGCTGGAGGGTTTAATCGTGAAGCTTTCATTGTCATGCAAGACAACATCATCAGTGCAAACTTAAGGATCTTCCTTGACAATTGACAAAATTCTGGTTTGGATATTAGCGTTTTCAGCAACCTTCGAAACACAAATGCGAAACAAACATTGAAATTCATCAGATACGATCTCATTGACTTTGAATATCTTACATCCGTGCTTTAATTTATCAGTGTATGTAATATAGTCATCGGAAGGTAATATGGACAAGTTGAAGATACTGTTATCAAATACTAAATAGGGACCATCATTTGTTGAAAGTTCGAAGAATAAAACTGAAATATTTATTCCGCCCAGTATTATCAAGTTTTCGAAACAACAAACGAAATTTTTGCTAAGTTATCGGGTGTAGAACATTTAATACGAAAGGCATTCTCATATTGGTCAAACCTAGAGTCAAATATAAGGCGATACACAATAACGAATCAAAAAAGGATGCTAAGAAACCTCTACCTCAGTGGTCAACGGCCCATAACGTTTACAGTGCTTAAGTTTTACTCTTATAGCAATGTCCATTTCTACTTTGATCACTTCCGATCATGAATTATCAGCCTACCAATCATGATTAAATTGATTTTTACTTTTTCAATAACCACTGTCACTTTAGGTGTTTTGCGGTTCACGATAAGTCATGAAATAAAATGAGTTCGTTTTAATCTGTTAACCTCGCTGTTACAGCCTTGTTCACATTCTCGAAGTGAAACTAATTTATGAAGTAAAGCGTTATCAACATGCATTGGACACTACCTAATTCAAGGAGTAACAAAAAAACAAAGTGTATTGGAAGGTGACATTCTTTACCATTTTGGCACAATAAAGAAGTAAACGCTTCTTCACAAATAGTCAAAGAAAACATGCAATTCAAAATTTTGCGTAGACCATAATACACTACTTAGAAATAATAACAGTAGTTCAAAGCCATAACTCGAAAATTCACTGCTAAACCAAATCAGAAACATGCGTTTAGTGAAAACTCAGTTAAAAACACGTATAATGACTATGTTAAGTCCTTCGTGCTGTTTTATGTCCCACTGTCGAAACACAATTAATAAATCTAATCTCTTAAACTAAACAAAGTTCAACTCCCTGACGAGCACTATCTTCAGTTCATCTGTACTGGAAGCTAGCACCCAGACCTGTACATATTGTAATAGCACACACCAAGAAACAATATACAAGACATTACGTACGTGCGATACAGATAGGAGGTACGGGAAAAAATGTGTTCACATTCCTCTTATGTGAACATTGTAACAAGTAAAAGACCGAAAACAATAATAATGGCATGAGTTATTAACATATCTCTCAGAAAAACCAGTTTCATTTGCATCCGGTCAATATTCTAGGAAATGATTCTAGTAACGATTAACCAGGCTGTAAGATAAAGATACATTGAACCAAGAGCTCAAAATATGACGAACCTGAAGTAGCGTTGATGCCTAAACCCATAGTACTTGTCCCAGCAACTTCTGCAGCAAGAGCAGATGCAACAGCATCTAGTGTAGCTCCAGACGAGCTGCCAGCAGTAAGTGAAGACGCTGCTTTAGCAATAAGATCGAATGGTAAACGAATCAGATGAGCTGCTCCATCACCACTAGACGTTAACATTAAATTATCCTTATTTCGAAATCGTACAGAGTTTACTGAACCTGAATGACCAACATACACTAGTAAACAACTAAAAAGAAGAAGAAACAAAAAATATGACTGAGCAGACACAAATAATCATTTATATTCAAGAAAATGATTAATATTCAGCCACTTTGAAATGTCTCGCGGTTTATAAAAGTCTAAAAACATTCATCCCAACATTATAAGGGCAACGGAAAGATAATATATATGCACACTCACACACTACTCAATAACTTTTATAAGCGTCATATGGTATTAAATCCGTAGTTGCTTCATCCTGATCAAATCATTTGTACTCCGGTAACAGTTTCCTTGGACCATGATACATTTATACAAAAAAACTCAACGCAGAACCTAGCTCACAAGTACATCAGTTCAATTTGCCATACTTCACAGCAGCATACATAGAACAAAAGGATAGGAAAAGACTGATATCAAAGTATACAAAAGTGTACGCGAGAAGAGGAAATTTCAAAATAAAGGATAAATAAAACATTCAAGCCTTAAAAGACATCAAAGAGTGAATACATCTGCACAACTGTGATCGATTTCCAACAATGTCACCAAGAATCCTCAGCCACTCATTCATACCCTTTCGAGGAAGTCTACAACTTCCCCGTAAGGACAAGACCAAACTGACTGACTGACAAAATCAACGTAGAGCCTCGCACACAGGTGCATTGACTCAAGTTTCCACACTTCACAGTAGTAGACAAAGAATAGGTGGATAGAAAAAGACTCATACTCAAGTAAACAAAAGTTGTGTGAGAGGACAAGCAATTTGAAAATAATGGTTAGTACAGATATTCAAGCTTCAGAAGACGTCAAGGAGTGAATACATCCGCACCATTGTGATCGATTTTCAGCTATATTACCAAGAGTTCTCAACCACTAGTCCACGTCGTTTTGGGGACCCCAACCAGGCGGTCTACGCCTCCCTACACGGTTCAGACCAATAAGAAGAGACTTCATCAACTGGTGACACATCCTAGTCTGGCTACCATGAACCCTCAACCTAATCCAACTTCCTACAGCATAGCATGTCGAGATGGGCGGTGGCTCGGCATGCACAGTACGTGTCCAAGACATCTCAGTCGACTAAAGTTCACAACCTCATCAGTCGGCTTAGCTGTTTTGCCTAGTATACTTCGCCTGACTTCAACAGTGCTCACACGCTGATTCCACCACATGTGAGCAATGCTGTGAAGTCACCTACGATCGAAAGCCTGTTACCGCTTTATGTCTTCTACTTTCACTGGCCATGTCTCACAGCCATACAACAGGACAGAGTGGACGGCAGCACAGTATACTCAGCCTTTGATAGGTAGTCGGATACCTTGCGAGTCGACGCCAAAGTTGATAAGAGTTGGCGAATGGTAACGGAACCTTCTGTATTCGAGCTGAGATTTTGTCAGCAACCAGCCCATTCATACTGGAAATTGCAATAGATGATCACCGTTGTCAGTTCGTCGGCATGGGATTGAGTATATACCTCCAAGATGCCTTTCCGATTGGCTTAGTTTCCGTACTTGAACGTCAAAGTCACTTCCTATTATGACTACATCTGAACGTTTACGCTTTCTGTAGCAAAACTGACAGCTTCTCATAGAATTCATCCTTTGCATCATTCAAACTACGGTAGGTGGGTACGTCGGCGGAGATTACGAATAAGCACTGGCTGGTCTCACAATCTTTCCTAGTCTTTACAGATCCATTCAGTCAAACAGCACATAGCTGTTTACTGGTATCTAGTCGAGAAGCACACTTTCTGCTCTGCAACTCAATTATATGCTTACAACAGAGAGTCGACAAGAGCTAGCCAATGACTCTGGATACTCGTAAGATGAATTTTGAAGATTCACTACTATGGTCAGATGAGTTCAACTTAATAACTATGCTCGGGTCGTGTATACGTGTCTCAGAAACAACATACATCCATGGCTAGAGATTCTAGAGTTTTGGCAAGTGATGCTTTCTATCCGATTTTGCATAGAGTATGGAGGTTGAAACCTAAGCATGAATTCGGTGGCGGGATCTTAGAAGACTAGGAATGAGGTTTCGATGGCTTTGATCGTTAACAATAGCTGCAGGGTGAGAGGTTGGGCAAGACGTAAGAGGCTTAATACTAATATCAGGAGGTGAAGGCAAAGAAGGAGACAGAGTTAAGGAGGGTAGACTATGTTTGATTGGGTCTTGTGAACTACTGGAAGCATCCAAGTGGTTGCCCACACTATGGAAAGCTACTTTTTCTTAAGGTACCTGAAGGAAAAAAATTTGTGACCGCACATCCCATAGAAAGTCTGCTTGAGGCCTGTCACATATGGCCTTTTTGGGGACGTTGTTTTGAGGTTTGTTTGTTCTAACCCCGGATGGAGAGCGCCCATACCCTCGGCACTGCAAGACCGTGGGGCAGGTGGAATGTATTATTTTGGGTCCGACCTTTTCTAACCCCGTCTTCCCATTGGGAAGACAGTATTAGAGTGGTACTCCTGATCATTCAAGGGAAACACCTTACTGTTGTCACACCCCATCTGCCTAGCAGCAATACGACTTCGCCCTCAGACTCCCATCACTGTGTAGTAATTGATTCTACAATGGGAATTGCTTTTCATCTTACCATTATTCAACAAACGTTTCTGGTAGAGTAGGACCTTGAGGAGACACGCGTCCCACCAGCATAGCTCATTGGGTCATTGTGATATGCAAGTCCGACCACCACGTCAAGGTAGTAGCTTTCGGTCGGACTCGGACCAAAAGTTAGAACTGGTGCTAGGCCTTAGTCTGGTCACTCTTAACCCTCTTCCAACCTATTCTAACTTCCAACACCATGGCACGTCAAGGTGGGCGGTGGCTCGCTACGCGCAGCACGTGTCCAAGCCATCTCAGTCGAGAATCGTTCATAACCTCATTCACCGCCTTCCCACCCCTCCCTAGTACCTTTCATCTGACTTCTGCGTTGCTTACATGATGATCCTACCATACGCCAGCAATGTTACGAAGACATAGGTGAACAAAAACTTGTAAACGCTTCATATCCTCTATTTTTAACAGCCGTTTCTCACAGTCACACAACAGGATAGAATGAACTGCAGAGCAGTACACTCGTCCTATAACAGATGGTGGCAAGTTGGTAAATTCTAAACGGGCCTTGTGTATCCAAGCTGAGGCTTTATAAGAAACCAGTTTGTTCGACTTAATGCAACTCCACAAGTGAAGTGATCGACGCATTATACCACTTTACTCCTTATCCTTAGACTGGTAGTCTTATTTTTCTATATTCACTCGGTTAGTACTTGAGGACGGCTACTATGAGAATAAGTAATAAATAATAAGTTCAATATAGTGCTCAAGTATCCATTCAGCTGCCCTAGTCTGGTGTTTATTTAATCACAGATTAACTACGTATTTCAGTATACAGATTGCACATATGACAAAAAAAATACCTTGAAATAGCTGAATATGCTCACTAAAACTAGTCGTACGTTACATTTAAAAAAAGCAAAATCATTTTCAGTAGTTTTACTTGTCTAGTGCGTTCAATAGCTTAGACGTGGCTTTTCTTTAACCGTGTAGCTCCACCTTAAAAGCCAACATAGTATTTCAATTAGAACGCTCAGAGTAACTGCCCGTTATTTTTCCATCTAAAGGTTATTCATTTGTAAATAATCTAGACCATCAACAGAGTTTGTCTAGTCAAACGAAATTTGTAGCACTGTGCAACTCGTCTATACTTTACATTTATCATACTTTCAAAGCTAACAGAAGTGAGACCGTTAGTCATTATGGAATAACCAGTGAAGGGACGTCATAGTATGAAAGAAGCATGAGCAGTAAACATTTTTTAACCAGTACGTGATACCATTTACGAGACAGATATAATGTGATGCCTGGGAAATTTACGTTAGCTCTCTTACTGAAGCACAAGGTATACTCAAAGTAAGCCAGGATTTCCTATACTTGTTAGTAAAACTAATCCTCATTGATGAAAGATTTGTCAGTATTTTTAAACACTTATTTAGACTTAAAACGCACTGATCACCTCTCACGACATAGACGTTTAGTTTGGTGTTTGAAGCGGCGTTGAGTATCACTGGTAACATCGACATGTATGCGGGTAGACCCTGATGATGAGTTAGAAGTGGATCAAAAGTTTTGTCCTGGATTCCGCCGCTAGCTAACATCAAGCAGGATTCTGCCCAGTTAAAGCTGCTCAGATTACTCAATAGGGTTTCGTTTGTCTTGCCATATAATCTAGTGCACTGATGACCTAGAAATTAGTTTTTATCATGTACGTTTAAACAGATACCACAAATGCAATTACGTAGAAAACTATCATTTTTTTAAATGAAAAAAATGGGTCAGCTTATACAAAGTAGCCTTAACCCAGTCAACTTATCCTACTTTAATTGAGCATCGTTAATCCATAGCTTAGCAGTGTTGTCAGCTGACGCTGTAGCAATGAATCTTTTGAATGATGTAACTTCCCAAATTCCGTCTCGGTGTCCAGCCACTCGGCTCATTAACTGAAAACTACCATTATGTCCAGAAAAAGTACCAGAGAAAACAGCTGCTCCATGTCCAGTTGTATTAGTACTCGGAAAAGTTATATTTCCAGAGTAATTCAGAGAGGTATTGACTCCTGCGGAAAGATTGTTTGAAGTCACACCAACAGACGGTGAGACCGATAACCCAGGCTGTGAAACCGAATGTGTATATCCTTGACCTATATTACTAGAAGAATGACTGGCGGATTGACGAAGACTTGAAACCAAACGAGATGTGGATTGTTTGTATTGTTGCTTGATACGTTGTGATAGCATGCTTGCACCCACTAAATACAAGAAGCAAAGACATTATCATTCAACTCCAGGAACTAGCTATTAGAGCTGAAAAAATCTACGTGAACTTACATCTCATTTGAATGAATGCAAGTCTAACAGATTTTGACAGCTGTCGTATTTTCAATACTACCAACAACTTTTTAAAAAGAACGCTTCAACTGATAATTAAGAAATATATTTAGAAGACTGTAAATAAAACTTATAAACAGTTAGTCAAGGATGATTCGAAGGTTTGTACGAATCCAACAAATGTTTACCAATGGATGTATAACTTCAGTTCTATTCGCTTCAACATGTAAATGCAATTAGCAGTTGCGCAGAATGCATAGATCTGTAACTTGTAGGTTATGGTAACCAAAACAGCACTTAGTTTACGCTGAGAATTCCAAATTGTACCACAAATTGTTTGGAATAAAGTGAATTTTATTATTATTATTATTAGTATTATTATTATTATTATTTATTAGAAGTCTAAACCCGCTTACCGCTTAGCAGAGGTTTAAATAACCGGTTACTATAATTAGCCCATACATTAATACATGGATGCATAATTAGCTATTTCATTGCATAATGCTCAGAATAAACTTTTGGTAATAAGTATTAATCCAGCAGTGCTCGATATCCGAGTATCGGGACCAACGTTCTACATATGAAGGTTCACTATAACACCGTAAGCTAAGCTTCAGTTTCCCTTCAATTCACAAATAACTACTAACATAATCAGTGGTTTGTTACGCCACAATTAACGACCCTTACAAGTAGCATAAATACTGACTTGTGTCTTGTCAGTTTCAGTGATAACCACTTTACACAGAAAAAGGTGTAAATGAACTTCTAGGAAAACACCTAACCAGTAATGCATACATCTAGCAAAACAGTAGACAGTAGAACTTACATTTTTTCACTAACGTTATCGTTTCTGAATGATCACCGTCCTCAAATTTTTCCAAACGTTCTTGTACTACAAAATTTTAAAATAAAATTTGTATGAAAATGCATTCGATTGAAAGTATTTCAAACAAAATCAGTTCATTGGTGTATATGTGCACTTATCGAGTATCATAAATGACAAGTTAATGAATATAAGAACAGAAAATGCATACGAGGCAAATATTAATGGATATCTGTGGTAGAAAAGCTTCAGTTTTAAACAAGATTTGTTACCTTTAACACTCCACATGTGTACATAGAAACATAGATTTATAAATACGTAAATAACAGATCGATAACTCAGTTGAAAAAGATAAGCATTAAATTAATCGAGAAATTTATCAGAGTAATCTATCCTTAAAGCTAGAATCGAGAAACTTACATAACAAAAGTATGCGACCCTACACTATGAAAACAAACCAGCTTGCAGCTTCACAATGAAAGAGTATTGAAAATAGATCTCATAATAAATTCGAAATACTTGCACAAAATCGATCAAGCTCCGAGGGAACTCATAACTCATAACTGCAAATCCTTTGCTAGGCAAACAGTAAAACCATCGTAGTAGTCATAAAACGTTCCTTAATTTTGATACTAACCACGCGTAATGTGTATCTAACTCAACAACTACGTGTAAGTTCTCGAACCACGAAGTCAGTGACACGTATTGTGTGAGGAATTGTGACAATCTGCCTGCATAATCCTTGGTGGGCGGAGTGGAGCGATAACCCGTGACCCGCCAGTTGAAATTAGACTGTCTACACAAACGCACCAGAGATTCATAGTTCTCTCCCCTACACACCCTTTTTACTTATTGAATTAATGTATTTTTATGCAATGTTCTACCCTTACGTTTGTCTACTTGTGTCACCGTTATGGGGGTCAAGGGTTCAAGCCTGGCTCCACCTACCGAGGTTTGGGCAGCCAGATAGTATCACTAGCTCCCACATAATAGGTGTGGCTCATTGCTTACTGCACGGATATGCACAAGGTGGCTGAGTATATTCCGTTCCGTTATGAGCAGGCAGAACCCAATGATGACGTCATAGGAACATGGACATTCTGTACGAGGTCTTCATGAGACGTAGGTTGGAATCGACTAACGATTATCTTACCGTAAGTGTTTCACACTTTACAATGTATTATCTATTTGCTCCAGTCTGTTAACAATCTAGCTCTGGTTAGTTGTTTTCTCTGATTCTTAACTTCCTTTTTCTTTTACGGTGGTGTGGTAGCTTGGGCAGCTTGCCAGCATGTAAGCTAGCTAGTACAACCACCAGGATATATTCTCCGAGAACTAATCTCAGTCGTGCATGAAACTCTGTCTTTTACTTGGTTGGGGTTCATATGAAACAACCAAAATACGTGGCTGTAAACTTGAAATGATAACTCAAGGTTCATAACAATGGAGATGTACTTATTCTTTATCTCATTGAAAAAAAAAGAATTTCTTTGTATTTCATACGCATTCATTCTGCTTTAATTTGTCTTCGTTGTTATTTTTGACCATTCCCTTGCTAATATTGGTATCAATACGATTATGACTATATTCCTTTTTCTCTTGTTACCTTCTCTTCCCACGCTGGTAAGTCCAGCCCATCACCCGTTGTACAAGGTACTACGCTACTTCGTCTCTTCATTTGACAGGCTATGAAATTTCTATCGAAATCAAGTTTCAATGCAGATCATCTCTGTAGGATCTATTTCACACCAGATAAGTAGAAAAACACAACCTCCGTATGTTTTCAATAGTGAGATTTAGACAATAAAGCATACGTAGAATCCTTTTCCGAAACGCTGATATTGTCCACACCATATAGATTCATCAGTTGCTTACATCTGTAAAATTATCACTTACAAGAATGACTTCCACATTATTGGGTCACAGTAGAGGTAAAACATAATCAGTAGTAAAGATATTTTGCAAAACGATAAACACCGCAGAAATTATACACAAAATAAAAATGCTATACTTTATACGCTCAGTTATAAGCGGTTTTGTATTCTCGAAAACACATTTTTATATACACATCAACCAATCCAGTTGAGTCATAAAGACATTGAGTTAATTGTAACTTCTAAATTTGATTTCAACATTCCGCTTTTAGTCAAGTTATTGGTGGCTGAGTAAATAATAACGGAACTCGTGACTCCAATGTATAAGTGACATTATGAAATGACGATATAATTAGGTACGCATAATGTAATCATTGAAACTGTGATTCACTCAAAATACTGAGTCAGACAACTTACTCAACCACTGACAAACTCAAATTAACGGGTTCTTATACACGTAAAGAATAACACACAAAACAATTTCAAATATGTACATTATCCCGAATTTATATTCACTAGTTCACCAGAACATCACTTGTAAATTATCAAAATATAAGATCAAGTTAAGTGAAGTTACGTACATGCCAAGTTTTCACTATATAACCTCCTATATTCTCGTTCAAATTCACGCTCGATTCTTGCAAAATGCTTATGAAGTCGTTGTCTGAATTCACGTGGTAAAACAGATTCGACTGGACCAGTATATTCCCCCATTAAATGCCACGTCAAATAGCTATCTTCTTCACCCATACCACCTGCTATCATCGAACTTGGCACAGCACTTGTTACACATGTAGAAGCAGGGGGATTAGAAGAATCAGTTGTAATCACATCTCCATCCGATGTATTTGTACGCAAAGTTGCAAACATGACACATGTGATAGAATGCCCCCGTCAATTAAAACGCCGTTGTAGACCTATAACAAGCAGTAGAACACTTGACAAAAAAGAAAAATAAAAGTTTAAAGTAAACAGAATAAAGCAATGAAAATAAAAAGTCATTTATTTGCTGAATACAGGTAAACTTTGAACATATTGATCGAGTTTCTCAGAAAAAACTTGACTTTTAATCAGTCCTTCATGTTTAACTAGTGGATTCTGTGAAACATATTTGGTGTATATCTGGAAAATTCCTTCAAGTTCTTCATGCATTGGTGAACATGAATTATCGGTGGTAAGTACAATCTTCATTAGTGTAGGTGTTTCATAAAAATGAAGTCGATAGGTGTTAGTAACATAAGAAAAACGATTAATTTCATAATCCAACGGTGAAATTTTCTGACAAAATCCTTTCAAACCAATCAGCATACCACGCATCAACTTCAGATCATTGTTAGATGGACATTCACCCTGCTTTGTTTTAGCCCATTCACGATAATATAGGCCATCACCATTTTTTCCATATATATATAGATTATAAACTGTCATCTAAAAATTAATAACATAGGAACAACTACCCTAATTAAAATAGTTTTCAAGCTTAAATGCATAAATTAGAATAGCAATGTTTGTACAAGGCACCAATAAAAACCACGATGAAAATAACAAGTAAATAAACGGCCGTCTTGTACTCTCAACGAATGTCTATCCGTGATGATAACTACCTTGAAATAAATAAACGTTACAGCGAGCAGATGTACAATCTTAACACAGAATTAGCTGACTGGTACAACAAATCCCCTTCTTTCCGCTAGGTGAATACGTATTACAAGGATAAGTGGCAGACTGAACTCAGTCCAATGCGGAAAATATAGCCGATCACCAGCAGATAGGTCACCTACTTAGTCAGGCATAACTGTTTATATACTAAATGTACCTCATCACCTAACACCAAAACTTATACGGGATTAATGAGTTGCACTAGTTATTATTTACTAAACTGCGAGCGACAAGTGTTTGCAGAACAGAAGTACGCCCGCCACTTAAGTAAAGGTTAGCGACAAAAGTCGCAACAGACAACTGACCAGAATACCCAAAGTCTCCTAGTGTCCTCCACATTGATTGACCATGTTTCACAGTCATACAGCAAGACAACGACTTCCAAAGTTATTGAAATGATCCATCCACTCAACCATTTCACCTTTTGTTCAAATAAGTATCATCACACACCAATCCTGATGTAAGCCCCAGCATTCAATCGGTGAGAAAAACACCCCAAACATTCTCAAATTGCCACTCAAGCTATCCAAATGAATCTGCATGCCATCAGCATCTGTGCATAACAAAACTACTTCATCTGTGTATTCTAGGTATACTAAGGAGTCTCTTGTGATAAGGCGAATCCTTGTAAAGTCAGAAGACGACAGGGAAACCACCATGAGAATGTTAATGACAAAGTTTATGAAGTGATGATGGAGTCACCTAGCCTTGTGATGAAATGTTCAATAACAAACTTAAAAGCAAGTAAAACACCAAACAAATATCAAAATTCAATAAGAATAAAATAGATAGAACAGATGTCAAGGACTGACACAAATCGACATAAACAACCTAGTTTAGAGTTCACCGTAGGTTCTAACACGATCAAAAATGTTTCATTTTAGAGCATTGAGTAAGGTTGTGTACTTACGCGGTATCCATCTCAATGAGACGCTGATACAAGATATCTCGAATGATAAAGAGGGATGCCACCTTGAAGTCGAGAATTAAAACTAGTATCGGACACCGCAAAAAGCGTTTGTTGTAAGATCTGGCGGAGGGTGATTTAATCGATGCACATGTGGTCAGTTCTGACATGTGCATATTTCCCTCCAATTTGCAATTCTCAAGCCTATTTAGATAGCTATGAACCGTGGGATATAAGACGTAAAACAGATAGGATAAGGTTCAGACTTATTTTTCCCCTGAGTTATGGTTATAGTTGTCAACCAAAACCTTAGTCCAGAAGATGACTCGCCCAATACATCTTTATTCTGAGCTACAAATAATCTCCCCCAATTTGTAGACTGAATATTGTAGCTGATGATGACAGTGACTTACAAGTATCCTGAATTCAACTTCTAGGAAAATGTGGATATTATAATCGGATTCCAGTCTACGTGTACTTACTGCCAATGAAGCTCAGGTTCAACGCCTTATAACCCAAACTATTCCTACTTAAATGGAAAAAATTGGCTCATTGGCTTCAGAACTGGTGTATCTAACAATCAGTCTCGGATGCAAGCCCAGCCCCATCAAATTTGACCCAGGTAATCAAGAAGTATTATAAACCCTCACACATTCGGCTTATAAATAAGTGAACAAACCTGTTCCAAGGTGCATTGCCTCATTGGTATTTTATTATAGTCTCACTGAATAAAGCAACGAAAGTAATAGGAAGTGCATGAAAATCAGAGGCAGCGTCATCAGACTGGTCTACTTTACTGATTATCCCAGACCAAGAAGGCACAGAATTATTCTTGTGACAACCATAAACCAATCAGTTTAATTAATGTCATGTCCAAAATCCTAGAGTCCATAGTTATCCAAGGCTTAACTGGAGCCTAAGAACAGAAAATCCGAGAAAACCAAGCAGGTTTTACACTTGAACGAGGGTGCATCAATCATATTCTCACCTTCAAACAGGTTCTTGAATGCAGGCACACTTATCGGCAGCCGACATCGTATTTCTTGACTTGATGGCGGCATTTTACTGTCATCCGTGAAGTGTTGTCAAAGCGTCTGACTAAAGGGAGTACCGACCAATTATGTGATGCTAATCAAAGCTCTCTACTGTAACCCACCCAATTGTTTAAGGGCTTACGAAGAGTTGACATGTGAATTGACGACAACTAGTGGTGTTCACCAGTGATGTCCACCATCACCGTTCCTGTTTAACTTTGTCATAGACGTACTAAGGGACATAACCTTAGGTACGTCTGACTTCACGAGGATTGGCCCACTTCCTGGAGGTCGTCTCGTTGACTTGGAGTATGCAGACGATGTTGACCTGCTGGGGTAAGACGCTGACAAAATGTGGAGAGGGCCTTTTGAACGTGATGATCAGAAATGTGGATGTGTTTGGTAGGCGTTTCTCACCCGTAACATAAGATGATGCTCGAAGACTGGTTTGCTGCAAGTACTCCGAGTTTAATGACAGGGGGTAGTGGTGGAATGTGTCGACCACCTCACTTAGAGAACTGTGAAAGCCCGGACAGGCTGGTTGCTGACGATACAAAAGGCTCATTCGCAACTTGCCAACTCGTATCAACTGTGGCGACCTTGCCTAGTTAACTAATTTACCAATTACAAGCCAGTCCTAAGCCCGAATAAAGAGGGAAGGTTGGGCATAGGGCTAGCAACCCTGCCCCGGGAATACAAATCCAATCTCTAAAAAAACTTCAAAGCACAAAGAAAATATTAAAAATAAAAATAAACTTATTCCTCACTGGAATCAGGGAGGCGAAATGACACCAGTTGGTGAAAGACTTCGGTAAGCCAACTGGCCGATGTGTCTTCAATTCTCTCGATGAAAGCGAAAGTAAGAACAGGGATATGGAATGTCCGCACCATGTATGATCCTAGCACGGCTCCCCAGATTCCAAAAGATATGAGGAGATATGGCATAGAAGTGCTGGAAATCTGCAAGGGATCTGCAGATGGAATGGAATTAGACTCTCCAAACTCTTAACTGGAGAGGAGTCAATAATCTACTCCAATTTTGTCACCCAGACGACAACCACGAGCGCACTGAGTTTTCAAGTGGCTATCATGGTGTCCCCGAGGGCATCGAAGACTCTCATACAGTGGGAACCAATCTCCTCCTCCTGCAGGATCAGGATCATGACAGCAAGATGGATTCAACTCAAAACGAAGGAAAGTCACATTCATGCAATGCTACGCTACGCACCTACAAATAATGCAGACGCAGACCAAGAGAAGAAGGAGGAATTATACAGACAACTGCAATCAGTACTGGACAACACGTCCCAGGTGGCGACATCAAAATTCTAATGGGTGGGATGACATGAATGCCAAACTGGGAGGGGACAACACAGGAAGAGAATTCATCATGGGTCGAGAAGCACTCAGTGAAATGATGAATGAGAATGGAGAACTGCTTGCAGATCTCTGCGCATTCAACCGTTTGGTGGTTGGAGGCAGTGTGCACAAACACAAGGATATTCACGAAGCAACATGGATTTGATTTCACCAGACACCAGATACACTAAAATCAGATCGACTTTATCTCAATCTGAAGAAAGTGGAGACGCAGCCTACTGGACACAATATCAGATCAGATGAAGAAGAGGATAAGATGTAGTTCACACCACTCACTATCTATTGCAAGGAAACTGCCTTCAAAATCAAGTTGAAAGCCTTCAAAAAAGTTGATGATAGACCACAGTTAAAGTTCAACACCAAGAAACTACAAAGGACATCTTCACGTCAGTCATAAGGACAAAATGGGAGACATTAGGCAACATCCCCAAGGAAACCTGCATGGAAGAACGCTGGGACTCTTTGAAAGAGACCTGGAAGGAAACCTGCATTACTGTGTTAGGAAGGAAGAAAAAACAAGACAAGGAATGGATCTTCACGCATGCATGAAAGCTGATAGAACAGAGAAAGGAAGATGGTGAAGCAGAAGATGAACCAGTCCAGTGCAGTGCAGGGATGAACAAAGAAAAGAGGAACTGGCTACAAACTATAAAACACTACACTGGGCAAAGAAGTGAAGAGTGCGTGGAAAGACTAAAGACACTTCTACGACACACTGGCAAGTGAAGCAGAACAGAATGCAGGTAGGCGAGATAGAGACCTGACAACACGATATCAAATAACCAGATTACTATCTGGGAGGGAAGAGATCAACATATGAAACCAATGAAAGATAGTGAAGGAAACCTGATTACCACCGAAGAGGAGAAACAAAGGAAACAATGGGATGACCACTTCAAAAAACTCTTCAATCGACCACTACCAACATTACTACCTGCAACTCGTCCAGAAATACCACCAGCAGCCCAGTGACAGAACTATCAGTGAACAAAAGCCATCCGACAGAAGCAGAAGTGAAGTCCTGATCCCCATAAAGCTGCTGAAATCAGGGAAAGCAGCAGGACCGTATAGAATTCTGCCAGAGGCACTGAAAACAGACGCAGAGACGACAGCGGACACGCTCACACCACTATTGCAGAGGGTTTGCACGGAGGGGAAAGAAAGACACCTGCCTATTGATTTCAAGAAGGGCTAGCTTGTCAAACTTTCAAACAAGGGAGACCTGTGTTTGCGAAAACTGCGGGGGAATCATGATCCGCTTCTATTCACCCCTAGCGAAGTATTAAGCCATATAGTGCCGGAAAGACTAAAACATGCTCTAAATCCAAAATTATGACCAGAACAGGGAGACTGGATTCAGGAAAAATAAATCATGTGCAGATCAAATTGCAACCCTACGCATCATCATAGAACATAGCATAGAATGGCAGTCAACTCTCTACCTCAAC